AAAATGAAATCTGCATCTTCAAAAAGCTGGTCAGCAGAAGGAAGCATGAAGTGCTCCAAAATTTCTTGGTAAATGGGTGCAGTGACGTTGGTTTTCAAAAAACACAATGGACCAACACCAGCAGATGACATTGCAGTCATCACAGACTGTGGAAACTTAACACTGGACTTCAAGCAACTTGGGCTATGAGCTTCTCCACCCTTCCTTCAGACTCTAGGACCTTGGTTTCCAAATGAAATACAAAATTTGCTCTCATCTGAAAAGAGGACTTTGGCCCACTGGGCAACAGTCCAGTTCTTCTTCTCCTTAGCCCAGGTAAGACGCCTCTGACGTTGTCTGTGGTTCAGGAGTGGCTTAACAAGAGGAATACGACAACTGTAGCCAAATTCCTTGACACGTCTGTGTGTGGTGCCTCTTGATGCCTTGACCCCAGCCTCAGTCCTTTCCTTGTGAAGTTCACTCAAATTCTTGAATCGATTTTGCTTGACAATCCTCATAAGGCTGCGGTTCTCTCGGTTGGTTGTGCATCTTTTTCTTCCACACTTTATCCTTCCACTCAACTTTCTGTTAACATGTTTGGATACAGCACTCTGTGAACAGCCAGCTTCTTTGGCAATGAATGTTTGTGGCTTACCCTCCTTGTGAAGGGTGTCAATGATTGTCTTCTGGACAACTGTCAGCTCAGCAGTCTTCCCCATGATTGTGTAGCCTAGTGAACCAAACTGAGAGACCATTTTGAAGGCTCAGAAAACCTTTGCAGGTTTTTTTTAGCTGATTGGCATGTCACCATATTCTAATTTGTTGAGATAGTGAATTGGTGGGGTTTTGTTAAATGTGAACCAAAATCATCACAATTAAAATAACCAAAGACTTAAACTACTTCAGTCTGTGTGCATTGAATTTATTTAATACACAAGTTTCACAATTTGAGTTGAATTACTGAAATAAATGAACTTTTCCATGACATTCTAATTTATTGAGATGCACCTGTATATAGACACCCAGCAGTGTTAATTTGGCACCAGGTATTTTGCTGTGTAGTGTTGAGTGTAGCCAGGTCTCCTCTCATTCTAGAGAGTTGTTATGCTGAGACCTCCACTCTTATGGTGTGTTTACACCATAGGTGTTTACACCATAGTGTAGATTACATACAAAGTCAATGCAAAGACGCGAATAGAGGCGAATTCGCGCCAGGCGACGCGAAATGCGCGAAGCATTTGCCGCGAACACGAGATATTCACCTCAATCGTGTCTTTCGCGCAAGTTCAAAAATTTCAACTCCAGCGGAAAATTTGCCTAACGCGTTCTCGCGCAAGCCAATCAGTGAAGAGCTTATTGGCATGTCCAGTTGAATCAGACAATAGAAGAGAGCATTATTGCAGCCGTCTGTTATTATATAGGTCTGGAGCATAGAAAACAATTAAAATCAGTTGTAGTGGTAGTTGTATTTTATTAGCATGGCTACAGAGATGCTGTTATCAATAATAAAAATAATAGTAATATCAGTGTATATATACTGTAGTAAAATGTAACACACATTAATACAGGATCCTAACGTTATTCATCCTCCTCTGGATGGTGCTGTGAACCCAGACACGTCGGCATTTGGCTTTCCATTGTATTTGGGACTTTTTGACAATAGGTACAAAACAGCGATTGTAGTTATCTCCAGCATGGTTGATCGCGCTGTTTTTATTCGTGCGAGTGACACGAAAAACATCCCACAAGTAATCTAGAGCGAGTGGCGCGAGGCACATATTCGCTTCGTGTCTGGTGTGAACTTTTTATTTTTTGCTGCAGTGCCATTGGGGGTTCGGTGCCTCAAGTTGTGGTATTGAAGGTGGGAGAGAGTGCTGTATGTTCACTCCCCCCACCTACAATCCCTGCTGGTATGAGACTCAAACCCGCAAACCTTTGGGTTACGAGTCCGACTCTTTAACCATTAGGCCACAACTTCCCCACTAGGGAACAAAATGCTGCGTCCTCTTGTCATGCGTTGGGCATTCCTGCCTGCTTCTCCTTCAGACAAAGAAGTGGATGACATATTCCACAGGTGCTCTTTTATACCCGCAGTCACTTTATTGTTTATGTCATAGGCTGCCGCCTGCCAATGTCAAGTTCATTGTCGTTTTTCATTCATGCTTCAGACACCAGTCATGCTGGAGGCATTCCCCTAGAGCCCTCTAGAGGACGCAGCTTCTCGTTCCCCATTCTCAGGGAACCATGGTTACATGCGTAACCTGAGACGTTTCAGCTCATGTAAACAAGATTTTACTTTAAATTTATAGTTTGTGTTTGGCAGCTGTTGCTGCCAGTCATTTGTATGTTTTAATCATCTAACGGTGTTGTTATAGTTACAGATTATTTTTTTAAATTTTACATATTTAAGAAAGCTGAAAAATGCTGTACAAAATACAGTATTTTTTTCAGTAAAAATGTGAATTACTGTAATTTGTGAATTTTGACTACAATTTAAAATAAAAGAAAACAACCGTAAGAAAAAAAAATCATGGTTATTTTCCATAAAAATTAGATATTTTACTTATTATATATATTTTTTTACATAATAGCTTTACTGTTAAAATTTTTGTGTGAAATTACATTATATTCCAGGTTAATAGTTGCATTAGTTTCACAGTAATTTCACAGTGGGAATCTGACTAACTTCATGGACTTGTAACAGTTATAAATAAATGTTTGTACAACACAGGTTGATCTTTGGTTGTCCAATCAGCGGAAAGGTGTGCTTCATGTCTACCTACATGTGGAAATCAAATATTATCCATTTTCTATCCCAAAATATAAAATTGAAAAATCAAGCCAAATTTAGTTTTTAATCAAATAAAAAATGTGCTGTTTTAAATTTTTTCTGCTTTCAATATTAAATCAGGGGGGGGGAAAGATTACAATGTACACAGCATTTACCACTCCGCTATAAGCATGCTGAATATATATTAAAATACAAAATCTTCTTCATTAAGTAAGGTTAAGACTCAAGTTGTAGGAAGATCCGAAGTCATTTCAGGTTGAGTCGAGTCTAAAGTCTATTTTTGGGACTTGAGTCTGAGTCACTCTCAGTGCCTGGTTTGATAATTGATAATGTATAATGTGTGTTTTTCAGCTAAAATTGCATAAGAAAACAATTACATTAGACACATGAGTCAAGCACTGTTAACTCATCTTTAATTTTTCTGTTTATTCTTTGCAGCCTTTCCAACTGTCATATTACACAGGAAGGCTGTGCTGCTCTGAGTTCAGCTCTGAGATCAAACCCCTCACACTTGACAGAACTAAATCTGAGTGATAATAATCCAGGAGATTCAGGAGTGAAGCTGCTCTCTGCTCTACTGGAGGATCCACACTGTAAACTGAAGAAACTACAGTGAGTGTAGTCATGTTTTATTGAATAGTTTTGACCTGTAATGAGAAATATTGATTTGAAACGTTTAACTCTTTAAACTGGACATTGATAGTTAAGGAGAAATTGAGTATGAACACAGCAAAACCACAGTTGTTAAATTAACTCTCCTCAGAGTTACAGTAATGTTTGTGGTCATTGTTTACTTTAGTTGGGCTTTTGACCCTTGACTTTTTAAAGGGGTCCTATTATGCTCTTTTACAAAGTCTTGATTTTGTTTTGGGGGTGTATTAGAACAGGCTCTCATACTAGGTTGTTCAAAAAACACATTATTTTTCACATATTTTACATTATTTCAACACCTCTCTCCCCAGTCTGGCATGAATGGCTCGAATAGTTCCTGTATCAAATGAAGGCCCGCCTTCTGAAATACGAAATGTGCTGTGATTGGTTAGCTGGGCCAGTGTGTACTGTGATTGGTTAGCTGGGCCAGTTTGTGTTGTGATTGGTACCACTCGGCGCCTGGGCCCGTTCTTCATACGTCGCTTATTACATCCGAGATGAAAAGTCACATCCAAGATGAAATCATCACGCTAATCAGGATCTGGCTAATTCGGTTCTTCGAACGCAACTGTTGTTGATGATTAGTATGGCAGGATAGAGTTACCTGCGATAATTGCACGTTCATGGGTTGGTTTAAAAGGAGCTATGTATCGATACTCGAAAGCAATGCAGCGATTGGCTGGCGGCAAGACAGCAACGTAATGACATCATATAATTAAAAAAGACACCTGACGAAAAGCTTGACACATTTCTGGACTTTTATAAGGAAACAGCCAAGCGAACAAAACTACATAAATGTTATAATAGATAAATGAAATGTGCACTGTTTTTATTTTATTTTTTATTGAATAGTTTTGACCTGTAATGAGAAATATTGATTTGAAACGTTTAACTCTTTAAACTGGACATTGATAGTTAAGGAGAAATTGAGTATGAACACAGCAAAACCACAGGTGTTAAATTAACTCTCCTCAGAGTTACAGTAATGTTTGTGGTCATTGTTTACTTTAGTTGGGCTTTTGACCCTTGACTTTTTAAAGGGGTCCTATTATGCTCTTTTACAAAGTCTTGATTTTGTTTTGGGGGTGTATTAGAACAGGCTCTCATACTAGGTTGTTCAAAAAACACATTATTTTTCACATATTTTACATTATTTCAACACCTCTCTCCCCAGTCTGGCATGAATGGCTCGAATAGTTCCTGTATCAAATGAAGGCCCGCCTTCTGAAATACGAAATGTGCTGTGATTGGTTAGCTGGGCCAGTGTGTACTGTGATTGGTTAGCTGGGCCAGTTTGTGTTGTGATTGGTACCACTCGGCGCCTGGGGCCCGTTCTTCATACGTCGCTTATTACATCCGAGATGAAAAGTCACATCCAAGATGAAATCATCACGCTAATCAGGATCTGGCTAATTCGGTTCTTCGAACGCAACTGTTGTTGATGATTAGTATGGCAGGATAGAGTTACCTGCGATAATTGCACGTTCATGGGTTGGTTTAAAAGGAGCTATGTATCGATACTCGAAAGCAATGCAGCGATTGGCTGGCGGCAAGACAGCAACGTAATGACATCATATAATTAAAAAAGACACCTGACGAAAAGCTTGACACATTTCTGGACTTTTATAAGGAAACAGCCAAGCGAACAAAACTACATAAATGTTATAATAGATAAATGAAATGTGCACTGTTTTTATTTTATTTTAATTTTTTACATGATTCCCAATTATTTATATTCATGATTTGTAATATTTGTACAGGCTTTACATTTTTATTTCAATGTAGTAATTAGCAATTCATTTAATTTTATATTTGAACATATTTGTTATGTGACAGCATTAAAGTTTCTAAAGGGTCAAGATCATGTTATCTGCATCTCCTGCGCTCCATCAAGCCACTCCCATAATATCTGTCACCACTCAAATGAATGCATGACTTTACATTATCTGTATAGCTTAAGACTCATGCTAGCTAACATAGTAAGACTCGAATACAATTATGAAGTAATAATTTTATGACGAATAAATCTTTCAGTGAGTAAAACTGGCTGTGTCTATAGTATTAAAGACTACACAAAATTATTATATTATCTTTAAATTAATTTTTAAATGATTATTATTTTAAATTATTGTCCCTGGATCAGTAGGATACTATTGTAATACAGTAGCGGTGGTAGCGGACAGATTTTAAGTATGAGTTCTGCTTAAAAAGATGCAATTTAATCCTGTTTACATGAAATAAACCTGCTCCCGAGCAGGTTTAAGTTTACAGACCTGTTGCTATGACAACAACTCGAGGATGAACTTCGAAGAACCAAACAATCCAAGATCATGCCAAATCGTCAACAATCAAATCCAGCTAACTGAGTCAGCGATGTACGAAGAACGGGCCCCTGGTCGGGAAATGTCATGCCCCTTACCATAGCCGCCTGCGAGCTTCAGTGTAAATATTGCGTCAAAATCAAATCAATTTGAGCGCAATTTAAACCTGGATGATTGTAACCACTCTGTCTGCCTTGGGAAAGCTAGATTGTCTCCAATATAGTGATAACACTCGTTGCCTTCTCTAGTGCAGCTCAACCAGGTCTCACAAATCCTGGAAAATGTGCGTTGTAGTCCAAACGAGTCGTTCGTTGTAGTCATAGTTGTTCAATAAAATATCTCCTTTTGAAGTGGACTTTGAGCTTTGTAAGTTTGCAGATCTTTTTTATGCTCAAACAGCAACATTACAGACTAACTAAAGTTGAAAAAGTGAAAAAGCATAATAGAACCCCTTTAAATGTGTATTTATTTATTTATTTTCATTTTTGATTGCTTTAACTGTGTGTTTATAAGACACATTTGTTATGGCAAAGAAAACACAAGGAAAATGTCTGCAGATGCTGGTTATGTTTTGACAACATAATCACCACAAGCTTATTAAAATATATCTTAGAAATGCCTCTGATTATACTGATCCTGTCCTGTAGAATCACAAGGATGCTGTAATCAGTAAGGTTAATACAGATATTAGGTTCTAAACAAGATCAGTGTTTCAGTTCACAACATTCAGTGATTATGCTTGTTAACATCAGGTGTCTTCACTAGTGATCAATCATCCTTTAATTAATCACTTAATTATCTAATTAACTTTACACTGCTTCAGTGTTAATTTGAACACTTTTGAGCGTGGACCAGAGGTGGGTAGAGTACACAAAAATTGTACTCAAGAAAAAGTAAAAGTACTTTTATAAATATTTACTCAAGTAAAAGTAATAGTCTGAATAGTTACTTGAGTAAGAGTAAAAAAGTATCAGACAAAAAAAAACTACTCAAGTAGTTAGAAACAAGTTATTTTGATACTAGTCTTTAATTTAGATATATAGATAAAATGTATGTACACACACACACACACACACACTGCCGTTCAAAATATTTTTAATGTAATTTATTTCAGTGATGCAAATCAGAATTTTCATTAGCCTTTACGCCAGTCTTCAGTGTCATATAATCCTTCAGAAATCATTACAATATGTTGACTTATTATCAATGCTGTTCTTTTTAGCTTTCTATTCATAAAATAATCCTGAACAAAATGCCACAGGTTCCAAAGAATATTTCCAAAACTGTTTCCAACACTGGTAATAAATCAATATATTAGAATGATTTCTGAAGGATCATATGAATCTGAAAACTGGAGTAACAGCTGATAAAAATTCAGATTTGCATCACTGAATTAAACTATATTTTAAATTATATTAATTATGTATTATAAAGGTATAACTATATGTATATAACCTCTGACACGGAGAACAGTGAAAACTCCTCACATGACCGCTACTGAATATCTGAACATAATGAAACAAATGCACATTGACGGATCTTCTTCCGTCTGTTCTGCAAAATGTAAACGTATATTTCTGTAAGCGTAAATATTGTGAAAATATCAATATTAATTGTGTCTAGGCAAAGGCATTCCTCCTGGAACAGAGCTAACGTGGGTTTGGCGGATGTTCATTTCATACTTTGTGACAGCTTGAATGTAGTCTATACCGTATGTAGTGGAACCGTAGACAGCACATGCAGTGTTCATCTAACAAAGATCTTCATAGCTAGCAAACAATAGCCTTTGCAGATTTGCTTTCAATTGACTGCAGATCCAAAGCCACGTCTTCAACGCTCTTGATGTTTTTAAACTTTCTGTTACAACTCTGCGTGAGAACTGCTTCAGACCACTCAGTGCGTGTGTCAGGGAACTGAATGAATCATTCAAACTGATTCGCGAACCAATTCACTGGTTTGCCAACTGGTTTGATCAAGCCTTTGAACAGAATTGACTCAAAAGAATGAACCATTTGCAAATGGGCATCGCTCATTGCCCAAGGAAAGTAGATGGCGCGTTTGGAATAAATTGAAGCATTTTTAACTTGAATTGCATTAAGATAAAGTAACGAGAGGAGCGTTGCCCACAGTAATGAAGTAAAAGTACAGTTTTTTCACTAAAAATGTACTTGAGTAATCTTTAAATATACTCTAAAAGTATTAGTTACACAAAAAATTTACTCAAGTAAATTTAACGAAGTAAATGTAACTCGTTACTACCCCCACTTTCAAACTGCAAAGAGTCCAATAAATTCATTGCTTAGCTTGTGCTTGGGTGGCAAATTACAATTTCTAAAGCATTGTCTGAGAGAGAAAAGTAGTGCTCATACAAGCACACACGGAGTGGTTTTTTTTGTTCATGTCACGGAAATAATCTCTCACCCTAAAATATCATAAAACATTCATGTTCTTCACTCTCTGCAGGCTGTGGGGCTGCAGTATTGGAGAAGAAGGCTGTGTTGCTCTGATTTCAGCTCTGAAATCAAACCCTTCACACCTGACAGAACTGAATCTGAACTTTAATAAACCAGGAGACTCAGGAGTGAAGCTGCTCTCTGCTGTACTGGAGGATCCACACTATAAACTGGAGAAACTACAGTGAGTGTCATCACATCTCAGTAACTATGAGGTTTCGAATAAAAGTAAAATGACACAGATGTGTTTTCATAATATATGAGGGGATGAAAAGCAACAGGAAGATGACTCAATGAAAGAAACAGCGTATATAGCAGGTGAAAATTAGGCAGGCATGACGATGAACCATGGAAACATACTCGGTTACTAACAGAACCTCGGTTCCCTGAGATACGGGAATGAGTACTGCGTCTTGCTTAAGACTCTATGGGGGAAACTCCTTTTTCTCTGAATACTGAGGCCTTTCAATAACGCAATGTAACTGCATGGCCATTGGTTCGTGCAGTGTATTAAAAACGTACCAATGGCTTAGCAGCAGAGCTGCACAAGCCTATGGCGACACAACCCACCAGAGCCCGCCAAAATGGGTGGGGCATCTAGCTATATAAGCGGGCTCTTCGCCATAGGATCCTCAGGTTACTTTGACTGAAGCTATGACTGAGTCGTGCAGCTACATAGCACGGCCTGCAACGCAGTACTCGTTCCCATATCTCAGGAAACCGAGGTTATGTTAGTAACTGAGTACGTTCCCTATCGATACTTCTCTGCTTGCTTGCTTTTTGCTTAAGACGCTATGGGGAACCAGTACAATCCGTGCTATGCTAGAGGAACGACTAATGCTTTAACTTGCCTTGAACACCAATGGGGCCTAGAGGGACCAAGCATTTTGCAGGGAAGCCCCGCAGGAGGCAATAGGGCCAAACTCACAGAGGTCGGCCCGGCGCTGAGTAATCGTTCAAAGATAAATTGTACAGCCTAGGAACCCAGTGGGGGCCAAGAGCGTACAGTGAAGAGTAAAGAGTGAAAAGAATAAGTCCGTTTAAGCAAAAAGAACCCAAGCCTGTAAGGCTGGGACATCCAGATTATAAAAACTGATAAATGTGGATGGTGAGGCCCAGCCAGCCTCCGCACAAATTTCTGCAATGGACACTCCGCTAGACCAAGCCCAGGAAGAAGCAACACCTCTTGTTGAGTGGGCTCTTACTCCCATGGGGCATTGTAGGCCCAAAGAAGAGTACACTAGCTTGATAGTGTCAATTATCCATTTGGAAAGTCACTACTTTGTGACCGGAGACCCTCTGGTGCAGCCACCGAAGCATACAAAAAGCTGATCTGACTGCCTGAACGGGGCGGAACGCTCAATACATATTCTCAATGCCCTGACGGGGCAAGGTCCTGCTCTGAAGGAGGAAGCGCTGAAAGAGCTATTACCTGCGCTCTGAACGGAGTCGAGAGCACTTTAGGTACATAACCATGCCTTGGCTTCAGGACGACCTTGGAATCGTTGGGCCCGGATTCGAGGCAGGTGGGGCTCACGAGAGCGCCTGCAGATCTCCCATACACTTTACCGATGCTAAAGCCAGTAGCAGAGCAGTCTTTAGCATCAGGGGACGAAGGTCAACGGGCTGTAGCAGCTCGAAAGGAGGGCTCTTCAGAGCCCTCAATACCGTGGGCAGGTCCCATGTAGGGACGGTGACAGGGCGAGGCGTGTTGAGCCTCCTAGACCCTTTTCAAAAAGCGAACAACTAGGTTGTTCCTGCCCACCGACTGGCCAGCTATAGGAGAGTGTGAGGTTGTTATGGCTGCTACATAGACCTTGAGCATGGAAGGGGAGTAACTCTTATCCAACAGCTCTTGCAGGAAGGACAATATCAGATATGTCGCAGGAAATTGGGTCTGCGTCGCGGGCCATACACCAGGCGGAGAAGACAGACCATTTAAGGGCGTAGAGCCACCCCATAGAGGGTGCTCTAGCCTGAGATATTGTGTCTAGCATGCTCTCGGGGAGGTCCGCAGGATCCCATCACGAGGCCAGAGGTGCAGAGCCCACAGCTCGGGCTGGGGGTGCCATATCGTTCTGTTCGCCTGAGAGAGGATGTCTCGTCTCAGGGGAATGGGCCACGGGGCTACTGAGAGCAGCCGAGACAGCTCTGTGAACCAGTGTTGGTTCCTCCAGAGCAGTGTCACCAACAGAACCTTGTGTTTCTGTTCCCTGATTCGCCTGATTACCTGTGGGGTCAGGGCGATCAGGGGAAAAGTGTAAAGGAGGAGGTTGGGCCAGTCGTGGGCCAACGCATCCCTGTCCTTCGAAAAGTAAATTGGGCAGTGAGAGTTGTCTTCTGAGGCAAAGAAGTTGTCTTCTGCCTTGCCGAAGATCTCCCAGATTTTATGAACCGAATGTAGGTGGAGCATTCACTCTTCTGAGGGGATGTTGCTCCAAAATAGCATGTCTGCTCCTTGGTTCAACCTGCCCGGCACATGCGCTGCCCTTAGCGAACGCAAGTTGAGCTGAGCCCATTCCAGGAGGTGCTCTACCAGAATGAAGAGGCGCTTCAAGGAGAGACCGCCCTGGCGATTTATATATGACACCACTGTCATGCTGTCTGAGTGGACTAGCACATGGCGTCTCATTGGGTCTGACAGAAAGGTGTGAAGGCCTAAACATACTGCCAGCATTTCCTGGCAGTTGATGTGAAGCCGACTCTCCTCTTTCTACGGAGAAAGCCGGTTTGCCATCGCAAAGAGCTCCCCAACCCGTGTTGGAAGTGTCTGTCAAGACAACCTTCCTTCTGCAGACCATTCCCAGGGGCACGCCCCGTTCCATCCACTGAGAGTCTTTCCAAGGGGCCAGAGCTGCTACACAGGCCCGGTTCACCTTTACACGTGCGTCCATGACGCCAGGCGTGGGACGGAACTGGTGGTTTCAGCCAGTACTGAAGGGGCCGCATGTGAAGCAGGCGCAGCAGAAGGCCCAACATGAGGCCCAACATCTTCTGAAACACCTTGAAAGGGCGAAGGGCTCCAACTTTGAATGAGGCTGTGAGCTGCTGAATCGCCAGTGCACGATCTGGTGCGACTACCGCGCTCATTCGGGCTGAGTTGAGAACTGTTCCCAGGAACGATATCCGTTGGTTGGGGGACAGCGCTCTCTTAGCGAAATTGACCCTGAGTCCCAGGCACTCTAAGTGGCTGAGGAAGGAGGATCTGTGAGATAATAGCTCATTCTCTGACTGGGCCAGGATGAGCCAGTCATTGAGATAATTCAGAATGCAGATTCCCATCTGTCTCAGCGGGGAAAGAGCCACATACATGTCAAGTCACCTTTATTTATATAGCGCTTTTAATTCATTCTGCACTTGGGGTCAAGTTGTGGTTTTTTGATGAGAGGCTTAATAACAGCCAGTTTGAAGGTTTTGGGGACATATCCTAATGACAATGGTGAATTAATAATAGTCAGAAGAGGATCTATGACTTCTGGAAGCACCTCTTTTAGGAGCTTAGATGGAATAGGGTCTAACATACATGTTGTTGCTTTAGATGATTTAACAAGTTTATACAATTCTTCCTCTCCTATAGTAGATAATGAGTGGAATTTTTCCTCAGGGGATCTATAGCACACTATCTGATGCGATACTGTAGCTGACGGCTGCATGGTTACAATTTTATCTCTAATAGTATCGATCTTGGAAGTAAAGTAGTTCATAAAGTCATTACTGCTGTTTTGTTGGGAAATGTCAACACCTGTTGATGCTTTATTTTTCCTTAATTTAGCCACTGTATTGAATAAATACCTGGGGTTATATTTGTTTTCTTCTAAAAGAGACGAAAAGTAATCAGATCTAGCAGTTTATAATACTTTTCTGTAGGATAGGGTACTTTCTCGCCAAGCAATATGAAATACCTCTAGTTTTGTTTTCCTTCAGCTGCGCTCCATTTTCCGGGCTGCTCTCTTTAGGGTGCGAGTGTGCTCATTATACCACGGTGTCAGACTGTTTTCCTTAATCTTCCTTAAGCGTAAAGGAGCAACCGTATCTAAAATGCTACCTTACTTGTAACAAGGAGTAGAATTGACAGTTTTAGCTATATGAAGTTTGCACAAGACTAGATAATGATCTGAGATATCATTGCTTGGCTGCATAATTTCAACACCATTAACATCAATTCCATGTGACAGTATTAAATCTAGAATATGATTTCTTAGGTACTGAGACGTGTTGTCTAACTCCAATAGAGTTCAGAATGTCTATGAATGCTGATCCCAATGCATCTTTTTCATTATCAACATGGATATTAAAATCACCAACAATTAAAACTTTATCTGCAGCCAGCACTAACTCGGATATAAAATAAGCAAATTCTTTAATAAAGTCTGTATGGTGCCCTCGTGGCTTGTATACAGTAGCCAGTACAAACATCACAGGGGATTTATCATTAACATTTGTTTCTCTGGTTATATGAAGCACTATTACATCAAACGAGTTATACTTGAAGCCCGCCCTCTAAGAAATACTGAAAATATTGTTATAAATTGTAGCAACACCTCCCCCTTTACCTTTTAAACGTGGCTCATGTTTATAATAGTAATCTTGGGGGGTAGCCTCATTTAAAATAATGTAATCATCAGGTTTTAGCCAGGTTTCTGTCAAACAGAGCACATCTAGATTATGATCAGTGATCATATTATTCATATTTCCCATGAGCTGATTAGCTACAGCATATTACAGTGTCTGACATCATACTTGCAAAATCTTACTGAATTTACGTTTAGCATTAGCCAGCACTTTTAAATTTGCCAAGATGTCAGGCGCTCTGGCTCCCGGTAAACATTGGATTATGGTGGCTGGTGGCTCTATTTTCACGTTTGGTACAATAGAATCCCCAATCACGTTTGGTACAATAGAATCGCCAATAACTAGAGCACTTTGATCAGGTTTCTCAGTGGGTGAGTCACTGAGTGGGGAGAACTTGTTTAATGTTTTGATCGGAATGGAAGAGCTGTGTTTTGACCCGCGACTAGGCTCTGTAACCAGAACTGAACAATGTATAGGACTCCCTGAGCTAGTTGCATCCAAAGCCGTATCTAGAGCCCTCACATTCTTACTATCCTCAATTAAAGTTTGGATGCGTGTCTCTAATTCTGAAATCTTCCCTGCATTTATCACATGTGAATCCCTCGTCGCCGA